TGAATATTCATATTAGAATTTTTTTCACATAATTTATTATAATGTTCTATTATTAAATTAATTATGTCATTTGGTAAATTTATATTACAAATTGTTTGTTTTATTTTATTACTAATATCTTCTAATTCTTTTATATTATCAACATCAACTTCATCTATTAACAATAGAACATTTTTTGTTTGTTCATTATTAAGTACATGTTGAAATGCATTTGTTGTTATTATGAAAGCATCAGGAACATTAAAATTTCGTTGAAATAAAATTGCTAAATTTGCTCCTTTACCACCAACTATTTCTAATTCAGTAGCATGTTTCTCTTCCAAACTTACAACAAATGGTATATTATCACTCATAGTCATTTATTTAATTATATTGTCATATAAGATTTACTAAATTTCAAAAAAAAAAGAAGTAAAGTTACATATTGATGAGCAATCTTTTTAGAGTATTTCATAAAATAAAACTTCGTATGACCTTCATTAGCAAGGAGAGTATCCTGCCATATCCTGCATACCATTCTCTCTGGTTGAGTCTTCATGTCTTTATCGAGATGTCGCCATTGATCGATCAAAACATCAGTAAGAAATTTTAACATGAGAGGATTAGAATACTGCAAAAGACAATATTTTCTGCATTTCGTATTTTATTAACGTTAGAGTACAGAAGATCTTTAGCTCTTATTTTAAAACTATTGCCCAATCCAAAATAAAAGACGAGTTTTTATTTTTGAATAACTTTTGATAGGAACAAGATAGAGACATGCGGTTTTCACCATTCGAAGAAGTGATGTTCAAATCATCGATCTATATAAAACTGATTATGGTGAAAGATACTTTTGAATCGATACTTTTTTCTTTGCGTATTTTCATCAATCTTCACAATAATCTCAAATCAAGTTATATCAAAATATAGCTTAAATCACCTTTTTTTTGGCTATAAAATGATCATATATTCCATTATTCCTCAACTTCTTATTCCAGATAGATTTACAAAAAAAGTGCAATAATTTTATAGCGAAAAAAAGGCGATTTGAGCTATATTTTGACATAATTTCATTTGAGATCATTGTGAAGATTAATGAAGCTATGCAAAGAAAAACATATCAATTTAAAAGCACCTATAAGAAAACCCATTTTTCGCCATAGTGAATTTTACACAGATCGATGACTCGGACATCGTTCCTTAGAATGGTGAAAACCGCATGTCTCTATCTTGTTCCTATCGAAAGTTATTCAAAAAATGACAACTCGCCTTTTATTATGAATCGGGTAATAGTAGACTTTTGAATTATGTTGATATATCAAAGCTATTGTTTATAAGATCATACTGTTAAATCTCGACTGTCTCTAAGTTCACAGAAATCACCTAAAGATTTATGTAAATTCGGGGAAAACTTAGGGCTTTATATTTTAGTGAAAATTCATAACAAGAATATGTAGTGATGAATTTGCTTCTATGTCATGTTTACCTGATGTATTTTCGATCGTCAAATGTATTGATTGGATGGTTGTAAGGAGATAAATATCAGTATAAACCTTCGAATAGTGCGAGGAATATTTAAATATACAGGTAAGTGTGATAAATGGTTATATATATACCCGAGATAAATAGCATATTTTGTGCTCTACATACTTTTTCGCACGTGTCGAACGCAAAAGTACGATGACGCGCGTAATACAAAAATAGAGTGAAGTAAATAAAAAATGCGTATGTACAAAATAAGCTAATATTTCTAATAAGAGAGCTTTGCTAAGTGATAATTCACATTTGAAACAAGTATTACAGCATTAAGTAGGCCCTATTGAGACTACAGGTAGAATAGATAGGACTTGGACCAAAGCTAATCGACATCTGACAGATACTTTCAATGTCATAGTACAGTTTTCAAACTTTTACTTTATATGAAAAAGTATACTGTTTAGTTTCTTTCATAAATAAAAACAAAAAAGAGATCATCTCAACTTCTACAAAAAAGCAAGCTCTAGAGAAAGTACTGAGAAAGCCTTAGCAGGGTACCTAATATTGGTACTTCGAAAATTCTCAGTAATTATACTGATGTAGGCACTGCAAGGGGTACCTATAAAAGTACGCTCACTGAGCAAGTACTGGTATGGATACCCGCATCTGTAATTTTACTGAGGAAAACTCTACAGGATACCCTAAATTTGTCGCGTTCTGCGTAGCGACTGTTCATTCACCGTTTTCTTTTTCGCGCACGGCTTCATATAAACAACTGAGCAAAACAGAAGAAATTAATCTGTTTTCATACTAATTTTTTCTAGGTTATTTCTTCACTATTCCTTAGTCGAGAACTTTCCGATCTTGATCGTAGATTAAGAGCGGACTATCCTGAGGTGGTCTCATGGATACTCGGCCAACTCAAGTTTGGTCATATCTCGGCTTTTGACTTGCTGAGTTTTCGGAATTGAAAAAATTAAATATAATAAAATCGAAAAAAATGTAATGAATCGCTTTGATAGAAAAAAAATGCAAAAAGTGAAAGGTCAGGTTCGATTCTGAACATATTGAAATTTTGGTAGCAGAGTACCTAGAAATACTGTACAATAATACCCAATTGAATATCTGATCGGTATCTTCAAGTACCCAGTTACTATACATTTTTTAGTAGGGTACCCACCAAAGTACCACTTAGGTACTTAAAAGTACCTATAAATACTTTGGTACCCAAAAGTTACTGTGACATACTGGTGACAGGGTACTTTTTCGAGTACCCTTAGCCCAGTATATTCTCTAGGAAGTGGCTTAGGATTCACTTGGTGTCTTTCTACTTCTAAAATCTAGTCAATTTCTCTAAGTATACCTTTGCTTGTTGTTGATGACACTGGAATGAAGCGCAGTGTTGGTCTCGAACGTCATGATTTTGAACACATACTTCAATGCTTTTTCTATCATGATAATACATCTTCACCTTTTTGATAGTTCATTTTCCTCTCCATGTATAAAAAAGACCCGATGAACACAAACTCTTTAGAATTCTCGCTAATCTCAATAGGATCTACCTAATGATTTAAGACTCGTCTTGAAATTGATTTATTACTCAGTGAAATTACATCGTAAGATATTGATAATTTTTGATTCTACCATATACTGTTTCAATACAGATTATCAAAATGACTCTGGATTTCTTTCAATGATTACAAATTCGACATAGTTTTGTACTAATATTTCTTTCTCTAAAGAGCGAAAACATCATATGTCTTTCCAACTAAGACAAAATAGTGTATTTCAATTCCATTTCATATATATTTTTCAATGAAATCTTCAAATTGAATCGTTTATTCTCTATAAAATTTAATTTCAAAAATGAATATATCATGTTAGATATATATAAATATTAGTTTTCAATCAAGTAGAAAACATTCAACTAGCCATAAAACACGAAAAAACAAGGACGCAAGCGTATTTGCATAAAAATATGGAATACGATTTCAATTAACTACAACTATACATAATTGAATAGAAATAAGGAAAAAAATCTGATAAAATAAAGAGTTAATTAATTACTACGATGTTCTCTATCATCATTTGAACCACTGTAGTTGGTTTTCTAGTACATAGTACAAAGTAATGTATTCGAAACTCGGCACTACTTGCCATGGAATGACTTTGAATTAGTCATTGCTGACTATTTGCTTCGAATTAGCCGTATGACAGCATGTTGACTACATCGTGACGTACATTGACCCTCTTGGCTACTATGTTATTAGTTAGTGTATGCAGGAAACTCAAGTAATTGAGCCGAAGAACTCTTGAGTCATACTGACCTTCTGCTCTGATCTATAATTAACAGTAGTTGAAGGTAAGATATTAGGCTAATGAAACTATCCGATCTTCGATTGATACTCTATATCACGAGAAAGTCGAAAGGCAGAGCATTCTTCTTTTGCTGTTATTTACTCGTTTGTTTAGTGCAAAAAGATTTCTAAACAAAAAAAGCTTTTTAACCTACTCATCGAAAATTTTTAGCTGCCATTGCTGATTTACGCATCAACTTACATCTCTATCAATAGATAGGAGCTACCTGAATGAAAGTTTGATGTAAATGACATTTCATATTTTAATAATGTAAGTTGAATAGTGTTTTATATTTATTTCTTTTTTGTTGGACAATCTGAAATAACATGATATTGACAGTTTTCTAGAAATTAGACCCTAACAAGTAGAGCAGAAGTTATATCAGATTTGACATTATCGAACGTTTTTCTCTATATACCGAAATTACAAAGATGAAAAATGATCTACATATACGAAGTTTTTCACAGATTCTGTTTTTGATTCAAGTGAATGACATTTTTTTTTTGCATAAAAATTAATTCCAAAAACAATATAAATTATGTCAATCAAATCTGTTCCCGTTACACAAGCATCACCATTGTAAAATCAGTTATCATTTAATACTGTAAGTTTATAATTACTTGTTTTCGATACTTTTATTCGAAAAATATATAGTTCACGATTAAAAATAAAATTTCGCATTAGGAGATCTAACTAGGTCTGTGATAGCATACAGTTTTATGAATTAGTGCTTTTCGGAGAAGTGGGTCTAGTGATATTTTTTTCGTATACTGTTTCAGTTCTCAAAATAGAACTAGTTCATAAAACTGGGAGCTATCGTAGTCATTAATTTGTTTTAACAGATATATTATTAATTTTAGCACAACCTTTTCCATTTGAATTAGTTTCTATATCAATTTGTGCTTGATAATTTCCAGCAAGTATCCAGGATGTAGAATTAATTTTCATTGGAATATTAAATGTATGTTCTCCCTATAAACAAAAGATTGTAATTATTAATTGTACAATATTATATGCATATTTACTGCTTCTATTGGACAACTATATTGTTTATAACGAGTACAAAGATCATCATATGTACATGAACCAATTATGAAGCAGGGAAGTGTAATATAAGTTATAAAAAGTTTTCTTCTTAATGACACTGTTGCCTAAATGTGTATGAAGTTTAGTCATTTCTTATTAATTCTATTTTTATAGGATACAAACCTTTAATGGACTTGTTAACTTTTGATTAGTATAGATAGTTGTTGTTACAGAAATCAAACCAGGAATCACAATTGGATCTGGACTTATCGTAAGACTTAGTAGTTTGATATCATTTGATTCACTTCCACAATTTTCCCATGATACTTGAGTAACTACAACTGTCTGAACACGAACTTTTTATTTAATTTATATTTTTACTTGTTATACTTTACCAATGGAAGAAACAGACAGGATAAAAATAAACTGAAATTTATAAAAGCCATGGAATATATAACTGTATATAGAGTGAATGAATAAGACTTATATATCTTTCGTCCATTTATATTTTTGCGTACTTGAATATTTGAATAAGGAAACCGTTCGTATGACAGGTGTGTTATTATAGTATTTAACAACATAAAATAAACACATATGACATTAATGAGATGATTCATTGGTTCTACTAACATATGCGAAAGAAAGAGGAAGAGGAAGAAGAATAGAAAGTTTACTCATCGGTGAATTTGTTCTCTCCCTTGGAAGCCAAAATTAAATATACATAAATTTACTTTTTGTATTTTCCAATATCAGAAAATGAGTCTGAAGCTTATAAGATTGAATCAGTTAGTTTATTGCGTTGTTAGCAATGACGCATCTGAAATATAAAATAAATGATTACCTATTTTTTTATTTGAGAAGAACTTCCGTTTTTTATTCATTCAGCAAAATTATATCAGAATCTTCAAATATTGTTAGCATTCAAATGACAAAATCAGATTCTAATCTCAGGTATTAGAATTTGATAGAAGACTCATGTCGAAAATTGATTTGATCTATTAATGATTCTATTAACCGGATTTCCATCAAATTTTGAACAACCGACTAATTCGATATAGTATAGGATCAAGTAGCTCGATGATTGTTAGAACAGCGTTCATTTTCAGACGGTATGTCTCAATGACGAGGATTTTTGATCAAACTTTATTAATTGATTATCTTTGTGAACTAGATAGTCTGAATAAAATATCGAAATTAGTACCCTCTGTCTAATGAACTTCATGAATGTTTGTATGTGATTGAGCTGAAAGTCCTACATATGTATAAATGTGTACACTCATGTAAATCTGATTGGCGAGTGTTTTTTGAGTCTGCTCACATTTCTCTTAATACAGATACCTATGCTGACTAAATAATGGATTTGGTAAGTGTCAAGAAACAAAGCAAACACTTCGGAAACTTTACCAGACGAGCTTGGCAGTGAGTATCCGAGCGAAATTTTATGAATTCCGAAAAGGACGTTGTTGAAATTTAAGTTTTAATACTCCTACAATAATTAAGTATTGAATTTCGTCGAATACTCACTGGATTTGACATCTTACCACTAAATGCTTATTGGAATCCTAGTATCATTATTCTCTATCAAACATGAGCGTTAGATTGAATCGGGTGAATGATGGAAGTCGGCTGTTGGTTTCAATAGTGATTTCATGGTAGTAAATGGATTATTTGTTGGTCAAGTATCATCCGAAAAAAAGAAATTGTTTGTCGTTATTTACTTGATCTTCAGAAAAACGTATTCAATGTTCTGATATTTCAACATATAGATCTATGTTGTGTACAATGCATCATATATGATTTAGATTGAATAATATCATGCATTATTCGATGTACTTGACTTTGAAAAATATTCATTTCTCGAGCAATATTTCTTATAGTGTTTATTGATTGCATGTTCAAATTCTATTCAAATTTGTTAGTTTTATTTTTTATTACTATTAATAGTCTTTGTAAAAGTATATAGTATTATTGATTTGAAATTCTAACAAAACTTGGTAGATTTCTCTTTCCGCTAAAGAAAAAGTTGTTGATTTCAGTCGAAATATAATGAGCGTAAACAAATTTTTTAGCAAGTAATTTACAGTCAATGAATTTTTTTCAATCATCCTTGACATCGACAATCTTATATTGATTATCAATATATGAAAATTTTCAAAGTATATCAAATCTATCATAAGTGAACGAAAATTTCTTAACCTAGCCTTTTTTTCAAAAAAGTGACAAATTTTTTTCGTTTGTACTTTTTTGATCGTGCAACTTTGAATTCTCTATATTTAATTTTTCTTCTATTTAAAAGAATATGTCAAGATGCACATCATGACAGAGCCCTGTTTTTCAATTAAGCATTGTTACTATTATACAAAAGAGTACTTTTATAATTAGAACATCATAGTGTGATAGTTTTTTCCGAGGTATTGAACTTTTCATCCTTTTTCTTTGCTTAAAATGTAAGAAATTAAAAAATAAAGCTCTGGATCTTGACATACTCTTTCAAACAAACAAACAAAAATTTAGTACATAAAATGAAGGATCACAGATCATTCTATATTACTAAATAAAGGTCTTTTTGACTGCTTATTTGTTGAATATCTCCCGAAAACATCATTATACAAGACTCCGATGAATACCTTCTCAATTGTTACAGTCTATGACAATTAATACATTTCATAAATTAATCTTTTATAAACTCTACGAGAATCTTACAATTAAAATTAATTTTATTTGTAAGTTCAATGTCACACTGGTTGAAAAACAACTAAAATCAGACAAAAAACACCTATAATCATTCATTAGACAAAATTTTAATTCGTCCATTAGAACCATTAACTTGAATAAATTGACCATTATGAAATATATTCTTAGCATTAGCAACACCAACAACAGCTGGCAAACCATATTCTCTTGAAACTATAGCACCATGTTGAAGCATTCCACCCATTTCTAATACTAAAGCACCAACAATTGGAAATAATGATGTCCATGCTGGATCAGTAGCTGTACAAACTAAGATTTCACCAGGTTCTAATTTAGAATTCATTGGATCATCAACTATACGTACTTTTCCTTCATATACACCTGGAGATACAGGACTACCAATATATTCACCTTCAATTAATTCAATTTGTTGATTAGTTTCATCTGATATTGTTGTTGCATCATAATAAGTTGTTCCATTAGAAAGTAATATTAATGGTATTCGTTTACAAGACATTTGTTTTGTATATTCTAATCGACGTTGTAAAATTAAATTTTTCCAATAATCTATTTTATCATATTGTTTATGATCAGTATCATAAGCTAATGATTTTAATTCATTAATATATAGAAAAAAAATATCATCAACATTTGAAATTAAATTTTCATTAACTGCTAAATTAGCTTTAGAAAGAAGTTCTTTACGACATTTACCAAATGTTTGAATAAGGCCATAAAATTTTGGACATTCTCTTATTGAAAATAAAATTTTTAAACGATTAAAAAGAAAATTTACTAATGGTCTTTGAATAAAAGGCCATCGTAAATCATTTTCAATTCTTGATAAAGCTTCATACGCACTTTGTCGACTTTGATCATGAATTTTATCAATCGCTTTATCAGGATTAGAAATTTTTAAATAATTTTTTATTTGTTCAAGAACAATTTCTGGTTGATCAGACCATCGTTTACGACCTATATCAATTTCTCCAATACCACGACAACCATAATTATCAAAGAATTCATCTATTTTTAATTGAATATCTTTATCAAAAGATTTTCTTTTATAAATATCTACTAAATTATCTATTGTTTCATTTTCAAATAATTTTAATGTTGTTTCATTATTTTTTATTAATATAGTTAATTTCCATAACATAAGATTCATTTCTGTTGTTGGATTTGATTCAACAGCACGTGTAAGTGCAAGAGCATCAATAGAATTTTTTGCTAATTTTCCAAGAATTCTTAAACATACAATGGTAGGAAGCAGGCATGGAATAGCACGTTTCGCTAAAATTTGTGGTAATATCAATAAAATATTTTGAAAATGATTAACACAATTAGTAAAATTCTGATTGTTTTCATCTTCAAATCCTTTATCAATAAATTGATGACATTCTTCTATATGATTCATAAATAATTTTATTCCATAACGAGGAAATATGAAATTTCGTATGGATTTTAAAAGTGTAGAACTAATAAAAAATAATAAAAATAAATATGTTGTTAATGATGAAAATATTGATTTTATTGGAAACAATTTTGAACGAACTAAATAATTTATAATTGTACCCATTCCAGTATCAATCATTGATAAACCAAAGAAATGTACTGCTGCTGATGTTAATACACCAGTAATATCAATCCAAAGACGATTTGATGCTGATTTAAATATATTATGTCGTAATGGATTTGAAGATATATCA